TCATTCCACTTCTGCACCCTTCCATTCCCTTTCCATTCTGCACTCTAAGAAAACGTGAGCACCCCCCCTAGTCATTATGCGTTTTGACGGCTGTAACTACCCCACAGGCTTACTTAACCACCCACTGGGCTTGAGCCATTGAGCGTTACCACCCTGTTGGCAGGTGACAAGCATGGGGTAGTCACGTTTTATAAACTCTTGAATTGAACATTCAAGTGCATGCAGTCGTTCAATAGTAAAAGTCACTTCACAAATCTCAAAAATTACTTGAAACTTGTTTTCTTTGTGCGTTGGTTACCATTTATTCAAATTTGAACCGGTCGAAACAGGCGTGTGGCTCAGTTCGCCTATACTGGAAGAAAACGAACATTGCCAAAGAGTACAGACAACCTTGGTAGACACCTACTAAAACCCGAGGCAGATAAAAAGTATCGCGGTTGTCCTTTCTAGGTTTCGTCGCGGGTTTTTTCGGTTTTGCCATGTACTGCTAGTAAATAGCTGGCAGCTGGCGTCGTGCTCGAGGTATTCAACCAAATCTCTAGAAAAGCACAGGAAGCTACGCACAGGTGTGAATCGACTGGAATGTTCGCCCGACGAGATAATCTTGTCGTCTTTTATTGTGCGGTTCAGTAAAGAGCGTGCTCTCATTAAATGTGTGATCGGTCAGTTCTGCGTGCAGATCAGTTGCAAATGGCCTCCTCGGCTCCGCCGAACTTGCACGCCTGTCATACCCAATTTTTTTGCTTTCAAGTGCAGTGAAGTATGAAGCGTTGAACACCATGACTGAGGCCGGACAGGACGAACGTACACATATATCTGGGATCATGCCCGTGTATTTCGGAATTTCTTTGTCTTGGGTTGTATGATTTGCCTTCACTGGCTCATTTGGCACATTTCATCGAGCATACTCGATAAAAAATGCTTCAAACAAAAATGCTTCAAACAAGTGTGTGTCATCCAAGGTGGAGTACTTTGAAGGGGACTAGGATTTCAGGCCTTTCGGCATGCGTTCCTTTTACCTATATAAAAGATTCCAAGTAAATTTCCAAAAATAAGGCGTTGGCAAATATACACGTGCTATTTAAATTAGAGTTTTTTTGTTTTTTTTTAGAAAAAGTACTGCTGGAGAGGCCAGCAGGTGCAGCGCAGAGAACTATGTTTTCGGCGTTCTTTGAGGCTTGAGGCCGGTTCGGACACTTGCGTTTGAATGCGTTTGACAGCGTTGCGTCGAGAACCAAAAGCGACTCACCTCTCTCTGCTTCGTATGAAGCGTGGAATCCAATTCAACGAATCGTCTTGGCCGCCCTAGAATCACGTGCACGCGCTCAGTGTACTCAACTTTTACTCAACCGCCGCTGAAGTCATTCGGATATGTAGAAAGAGAAAAGAAAATGCATCAGTGTGTTCAGAAAGTTGTGAATGCAGAAATTGGTTTCGATAATTAATACAAATAATTAAACAGGCTTCTGTATACTTGAAGTGTAGGCAAGCGAGAAAACGAAACTGATCAAAACGTGACGTGTAGCGACAATTCAATTTGATTTATAACCTGCAGTTTACATTTGCAATGGATTACATTAGAGATACGAGCGCTTTCCTAAGGGCAGTAGAGGAAAATAATATATACGGATAAATCTTGCACAGTCTTTTCGTATTTATGCAAAATATGAGAGTGGTCACCACCCTAATCGGTAGCAGAAAATACAGCAGTATATAAGCTGGTGGTGTCGTCTAGTCGTGTGTATAGGAATGTAGAGTGTCAATGTCTCATGCAGGGATGGGCAAAATACATGCAAATATGTATCGAAATAGAAATACAAAATACTTCGTCAAAAATGTATTTAATTACAAATCTAATTACACTTCCAAAAAAGCATTTAAGTACAAGATACAAATACAACCAAACGTATTAGGTCTCCTCCAAATACTTTTCCAAATACATTCCTCAAAATTTGCGTCAGCGACTTCAGGGCACCTGCAACGGGTTTCTGGGTATCTCATTTTAATTTTTCATCCCACACTCGGGAGTTAGTGTGCGATGCTCTAGTAACGTAATAGAAATATAATCACAAAAAAATGTAATCAGCTTGGGCGTAATAGGTGACAAAAGTACAGAGCTTCAAGCAGCTTTTTTTGTCGATTACATCTTGGTATAGACCAACAAAGAACCGAGACGACCAAGACGCGCAGCACTAGCTAGAGAATGTTTTATTCTTGCAACTCGAACCAGTTACGAACATATGGACGACCCGCACATTTAGAATGTTCCAGGCAAAAATACGGATGGAAATCAGACTGGAAAGCATCACAAGTTGTCACACGCACTTATTTAGTCAGTCTGCCTGTGAACGTCGATTTCGTCACTATTCTTGCCCTGGTCTAGCACCGTAATCACAGTCACTAAACGCTTGTGCTTGATTGAGAGACAGTGCATTCGGTGCAGAACATAGTTTTCTTCCTGCTCTGCACAGTGCCTTTACTGTATTTTTGCCCATAAAAATGTATTTAATTACAATTGTATTTGGAATACCCACGTTTTAGTAATTAAATACGCACGTGAAATACATTACCCAATTTGTAATTAAATACAAATGCAAAATACACAAAGTATTTGAAATACGTATTTCAAATACATGTATTTGAAATACTGCCCATCCCTGGTCTCATGTTATACCTTGTGCTGTTTGTGAACTTGTTCATGTATAACATTGTATGGTGTCTGTATGTCGCGTATGTGTGACGTGTGGTGTGGAATATGACGCACGTGCATGTCTGGCGAGGCTCAGAACAAAGCCTGTTGGTTTCTTTTTTTCTTAGTTTGAGCGCTGTCCGTTAGGTGGCGCGTGTCGCCGCCAAATTCAAGGAGTCCCGCGTTTATGTGTCTACTTATTTGAGTGAAAAACATGGAGGCGTTCATGGCTCCACGGAGCAGTCACGAAGGGTTCGGTTCTCAGCCTCTCGTCCCCGTACGGTCAGTCCCATAGCCAGTTGAACGGGTGTTCCGTGCGGTGAATAGTGCGCGCACAGACGCGGTGGGGACTACCAGGGACTTGAAAGTGGATAACCAATGCTAACAGGTGAGCAGGAGCGTTGAACGATCGGAACCGTCGCCGCTTGAATCGGCAATGCCTGGCCTCGTTGCTGTCAACCGAAAACGCCGGATCACTTGCGGCAAGCACAGCAAGCAGATTCTCTGTTCAATACAGACATCATTTCAGTTGTCGCTATACGATTCCTTCTTTGAATGTTTTCTTGCTGCGAAGTAAATGCAGCCGGCCGCGCGAAAGCAGTCGTCGACAAACCCCTCCGAATGCCCCTCCCCCCCCCCCCCCCCCCACACACACACACACACACACACATCGCCGCCCCTACTGGTAATAGCTGCGGTGCCGGTGCTTCGAGGCGCGTTTTGGAGTGCTTTAGTGCGCACGGAAGGCAGCGAACGGGCGTACGCACTTGATAATCGTATTTTAGCAAAAAGCAGTCCAGATCGCTAGGCCTTACTCGTACTGGGCCCCTAAACTCGTCAAACACAAAGTTAGGGCCGAAGTTGACGGAGCGCACCTATTGGTCTATCACGACGATGACTTCGCGCTTTTTTCGCCAACGTCCAATCAGCGCGCTCCGCGAACTTTCGCCTCCAACTTTGTGTTCGACGAGTTTAGGGCCCCTACTCTACTGTCGCTTGCCAGCCGCCATGTTGCTTTTGGAGGTGCTCACTGTGACTACCTGTTGATTGCATGCCGTATGACTACCCATAGGGTCGTTAGTATTACTAAGGGGGGGTAGCGATATCTGTGACAGCTTCCGACTACTTTTTTGTTGAGAGTGTGGGGTCGTGAAAGGGCGGTATGATTCCGGAATCTTTCTTACTCCGAAGTGACAACTCCGCAACACTGTTAAAGTGGACGCTCGAAAAAATCTTCGACAATTACGATAAACAAAAACATAGCGTGTCCAGATCTTTTGTACGTAACAGGAAAATGCATTCAACCTTGTGGCGATTTTATTATGTTCTTGATTATTTCAATATCGTTGTTCTTGATAGAGTGAGTTTTAACGGCGGTTCTCGGGTTTTACTCGATCTGCAAGACTGTTAATCTACCTCACGGTGTGATCTACCTCGATCCTTCACACCTCATGACAGAGACACTTTCAAGTGGAGGAGGGAGAAGCTTACTGAACGTTGTACGAGCTCATACTCTAAAGGAAAATGTAGACACAACATACATATAGCAAACATTTCATGAGCATTTTATATTTGCATGTGGGCAAATAATAAAAAGAGGGACTATTGTGGCAATTCCATGCGCTCCGAAAATTAATTCCCAATTATTATGCCTGTTCAGGTTCCCAATTTTTAATATTTTCCATAAAGCACTACTGCCGGGTATTTGTAGAACGATCAGAAACCGGCAAACAATATTGCTTTCTTTTCGGTAATGGTGAACGAAATGAATTCGATCCTAAACGGTTTTTGGTTTGGGTTACGGTTTTAGCCTCTGTATTTGACTGTCGCGTAGCAGAGAGAGCGAAAAACAAGTTTACCGACAATTTATGAACATGGTGTTGATGTCACCGCCGAGTAACTTTAATATGACAACGCCTATAGAAGTCCTCCCAACGAAAGAACAGTAAGTCGGGGAGCATATAAATTTGTTGAATGACGCTGTGTTATGCGTATTTTCATTCGCTTGAAGCAGGATGTCGATCGCGCTATTTTAACGCACCGTAATTTTAAAATTAGCTATTGTTGCGTAAGCGCCAATTGTGATAATTTAAACCAAGTGTTTCCTGGAAAACATCGGACTTATTCACTACTAAAGACATCGACAGAACTGACCATAATGTCCCACATTGAAATTTTACAGTATACTTAAGGGCAGAATTTGTATATTTCTTATCGAGCTTCGAAAACAGTACTCTTCAATGAAATCACCCACAACTCGCATAAAAGAAATACATCTTAGAGTTTAAATATATTATTAATTTATTATTTCTTAGAAGTGCTTCGCAAGACCGTAGGCGAGAGGAGCTTGGTGGGCGTAGGCGAAGGGAGTAACGTGCGCCACTGGGGCGGCGTGCACTGCGCGCACGGCAACTGGAGCAGCGTGCACAGCGTGAACGGCGGCCACTGGTGCAGCCTTGACAACGACCGGGTGGGGACCCTCGACGGCGGTGGAGAAGAATGGAGCGTCGGCTGGGGCCGAGGTCTTGGTTCCTGGCTCGTTCGTCTCGACGGTGGGGTGGAAGCCGGTGGCGTCAGCCACGTACTTCACCACACGGCTGACTCCGAGGGCATCGACGTAGCTGTAGGAGCCGACCTTGTTGTTGAACTCGTCTCCAGTCTCCTGACGGGTCATGCGGGTACCGAACTCGTCGACGTTGTCGTAGCCGAAGCTGTATGGCTGGGGAAGGTGCTGCAATAAAAAAATATTATACACTTGCATCAGCAGGGTTATGCAGAAAACAAAAGCCAGTTTATCTATTCGAGACAGTATATTTTCCTTGCATTTGGCTTTATCTAAATGCGTAAATGATTGGCTGAAGCAAGGCTTCGCAGTTCAAACTTGTGGGCTGTTTTTAGCTCTCCATCTCCAGTGGAACAAAACATTAAAGTTGAAGATAAATTGGAAGTAACTAAGGTCATAAACAAGTGGGATAGTTGAAGAATCTTTTTTTTTTTTTTTTTGAATATGTAACCGTGCGTGACAGTTTAAAGTGAATAGGCATACATTCTCAGAAATATCAATACGGTACTTCCGATGTTACCATTTAAAAGACGGTGTTGACACCTGATTACCTAGATATGCTTACTATGATCAAAATGAAGGTTCTCGAACAATCTACCGTCGTCCGAATGGACGTTCTAAATAACCTGTCATGATATCTAGTGTTCGGAGGTATTCCATAATATCTTAGGTCCTTCAAGATTGCTGCAATTTCTCACTTTACTGACCTCCTCCACGACAACTCCGCAAGCCACGTAGGCGAAGAGGCAGCACACAAGAACCTGGAAGCAAACATGACGTTGTTATTCCAGTCAAAGCGAAGACAAATCGGCTGCTGAAAATCTCAACATCCAAGTCAGCGACTAGCGTCGATAGGCTTTCCTACCTTAGTGAACATGATGATTACTTTTCCTCTTGGTTTAGAGTGGAAACGATGGTGCAGTACAGGAGAGTAAAGCCTTATATACCCGGTACAAAAATAACTTAACTTTAGACACGCCCTGTAAAGCTATCCAGTCAATAGCGTAAAAGAATCGACGAAGTAAAAAAAATAGATTGCTGCGTTGATTAATTTACAGAGTGTTGAACACGGAAAGACGGGAGAGAAAAGGAATGCGGTTAGAGAGGGCTTATTTTAATTTTCTTTTGTAGCTATTCCTGATAATGTACGATTTGAAATGCCGTTTTGTAGTAGGATGCTTTTGCACGTGAGAACAAGAAATGCTAAAATCAGGATAATGCTTGCATTTTCAATATCATGTTCGTCAAAGTCTATATTTTTCAGCTAGGACAGGAAAGCCACGTTTAGGGTCGGAAAAATTTCCTACATTCAATACACATAAAAATGTTTCAAGCTTACATTCATGCTAACACTCATTGCAGCACAATTTCAGCTTCTGCGAAGATATTGAAACATAAAATATAGCCCGGCTTTTAATTAGATTTTTGTTCATCTCTTAAAAGGTGCGAAGAATGCGATTGGTAAGAAAGCGTAACATGCATTGCATTATTGCATTTGATCAAGTTAATCAAGTTTTGAAGAATTAAAATGATGTCGATGGTGTACAATATCTGGTTAAAAATTTCAAACACTTAACCTCATTTGTTTTATTAAGTAATACCATATACCTCTTACAAATGAAAACAACGACTTAACACCGATTCCTTTCGTCAGTACTTACTATTTTTCGCAGTTAACAAACAAGGCAATAGCCTGATTTGTAACCAGTGAGCTGTGACACACACAACCAGTGACTTGTGACACCAATATCGCTTGAACCCCGGCCGGCCGGTTGTTCAGCGCCTTTTCTTGGCGTCAAGCAGCAAGTCACCGAGCCTAGGTGTGTGCTTTCTGCCACACGCCGGTTCTTTCGCTGAGCTGCTCTTTAACGCTGGAATAAGGAGCAGATCTGGTGACCGGTCGAAGTTCGCAAGACAATGTTAAAATCTGAAGAATGTCCATGTGTTAAACATTATTGCCATTTTTAAATATGATTGAGATTATATTAAATCATCTCCCTATTAGTTTAAATAATCGGAATCACGAAAGATCAGAGAGGTTGCAACGATTGATTAATAGCACGTTTATAGAAAAATAAAAAAGTATGTGTTGCAAAACCTCCTTTGCCCACAACACCAAGAAGTCGCCCGAAAAACCTAAAATGAAAACAAAGCCCGAAAATATTTGTTTATAGTTTTATTGTGGTCGTTTACAAGATAGATAGCACAATATGCATTGGCGATATAGGTAATCTTGAGGCAAAAATTTCGCGGGTGTATTTTTCCTTATATCTTCCAGTAATTTACGTAATCGATTCCAAAATTTAACGGTAAAGGGTCACGTTTATTTACACTGTAAGTTTTTTTTTGTGTTCGCAATCTTTTGAGGGCACGATGATTATTGGAAGATATAAAGACAAAGACAGTCGCGACATTCTAGAATCATGTATAATTTATTCATTTTATTATTTATTTATTTAGTTATTATAATCTACAAGCTGTCAACGAAGCACCAAAAAGATATAATAAAATACATAATGTTTCGCAACAATCAAAGCCTTTTTATATATTTTTTTCAATTTTTTAAAACATCTAATAATATTTCGCGATATTTGGCGGATTAAGTCCGCACCCCTTTACTTCTACTCTGAAGCTCCATGTTTCATCTTACGGGCGCAGAAACTAAACGAGTCGTGGCGCACATGTTCGCGACACACAGTAACTATCGACGAGCTGCATGAGCCACTTCCGACCGCACGGCTTTGACGAACCCGACATCTTATGGATACGGGTGGCAGAAGGCGAAATTATTTCTAAGCTAAATTAATTAGGCCTGAATGGAGCGCCATAGGGTAAAGTAAAAGAGACGGTGACGTTATGAAATTTTCGAACGTATTAATATTTCTGAAAGGTTTGACGACTCGCTTCGAGCACATCTGCCGAAGGTTACTTTTACCGATATTTTTAATAACGACGCATTCTATTCAAATTTAAATTAAATACAACATTTTGTTAAGTCGTTCGCCGTTGCAGGAAACTGTCGAACTTGCCAGATGCCGTACGAGACAGAGCCCGTCAATGCGCTATATACCGGCACACCACCATTCAATAGACAGCACGTCAATTCGTTTTCAGGCAAGATGCATGAAAAACCCTGTTCCGCAACGCTAACTGATGTTTCGACTTCAGAGTTAAGTTTCTTTATTCGCTAGGCTAGGCATTCTAGAAAGGGCTGTGTTTCGACAGTATCCTGATCTCAACAACATGTTTCTTGTTTTTCCATGGGTACACTACCGATCTATGGATGAAATTGTTTTCAGGCGAGATGCACGAACAAACTCTTCCCGAACGCTAATTCCTTTCGGCTTCGTAATCAAACTGTTTTTACCTGATTAAACACTATTCAACTGAAAAGGGGCAGCGGTCCTACTGTGCCTTTCATTTGGGCAACTATTCTGGCAATGTAGACATCTTGTTTGCGGATGTCACGTCACGGAGCGCGAAGAAGTCGCTCACGCTGCGAGAAAAACTCGGTGCACGAAGAGCGCGCTCGAGTGCGAGTCTCTGGCGGCGCTCCTGTCGCTTTTATTAAACGGAGAACTAAACTTTCGCGCTCCGGAGAATGGACCTAACGCGCCCAATGAAATCATCCCAACACATTTTCTCGACATTCGACGGATTGCTCACATATAAAACAAATCAACCGATAAGCGAGAACGTATCCGTCGAAGTGAAACAAGGTCTGCGGGTCCTAGGCATGACCTCCTCCTCCTTCTCCTCTTCTTCCCCTCATTCTCGAATATGCTCCGGGGGGTCACCTGACCTCGGGGGGAGGGGGTTACGTGACCTTGGGGGGGGGGTGTCACGTGACTTCGGGGGGGGGAGGGGGTCACGTCACCTCGGGGAGGGGGTCACGTGACCTTCGGGGGGGAGGTCACGTGACTTCTTGGGGGGTCACGTGACCTTGGGAGGTCACATGACCTCTGGGGGTCACGTGACCTTGGAGTGACCTCGGGGGGTCACGTGACCTCGCGGTAACGCCGACGGCGACGGCGACGCCGCTCAAACCGGAAACGGGCACCTAAGAGCTGCGCTCTAAAACAAAAAAAAAAAGAAAGAACTGGTGGTTGATTGCTTTCAAGAGAAAGACATGCACACGGTCTTGTCTTGATTAAATATTATTCGCATTTTTCTCTGTACCGTATATACTTTTTGTTTTGATCTCTTCGAATGATGATGCTGTCACAATTCCATGTTAGTTCTCTACGTAATATGTAATCATCTGCGAACACTCTGATGCATGAAGTAACTGACTCATGAATAGTGTTAACATAATTTTAAAAAGAAAAGGAATGAAGGTCCTAACACCAACCCGTGTGGGACTCCTGGTGTCACTTGATAAATTTTTAGAGTTTTATATATAAATTTTAAAAATATAACTTGGAGCTAGTTACGTTTTTTTCAGTCTGGTTTCAAAAGCAACCGAGATCGCGAACAAAAAGAATCGTACGTTATGCACAAGTTAAACACTATCAAAGCCGGAATCAATAAACATCCCGGCATTATGTCTTCCATTCACACGGCGAACAGAGACGATCCTCCTGTATTTGCGTAAGCGTACACATTCCAGAGGCTACAGGCCATCAACGATTTATTTTGTATAGAGGTCGTTCTAATATTTTCAACAGAAAAGGCAGCTGGTAATATATGTTTTCCCAAATGCTGTTTCTTTTTTTTCTTTTTTTTATTGATTAGGATCTTTGTTGCGCAATTGGCGCCTCCAGCTTTGTGGCTGCCTCTCAGTTTTCGAAAGTTCAGTCAAATTTTCGAGCGTTGAACCATTTTTATCTGGCCAGGTTTACGTTGGTGGCTTATCCTTCGGGCTAGGCCGCAAATAATCGGCTTTTGTGGCGATAACTGTGTTGATTCTATTTTGGGGCTCTTGAAGGAGCCAGGTGTTTCGAATTAGCAAATAATCCGTTGACGTCATGGGTCATGTGATGCAGCCAAGGTGTGTCAGTATTTCGTCAGTTGTAACCAGTCTTGAAAAAGGTCTGTCTCAGAAAGAAACGTCGACGAACTTTAAAAATGTTTTAAAAATTTCAACAACCGTTTTAAGTGTATTTTTCTGCCGTGTATACTTTTCGTCATCCCGCTCGACTTTCTCTCTATATCTCTCTTTCTCTCTTATATATATATATATATATATATATATATATATATATATATATATATATATATATCAGATTGTCTATCAGGGTATATCACTAAACCAACATATTTCGGAACTGCGTTTCAATTCCGCATTACAAAGAAGCGTAAACGTCTGCGATTTTTTTTATTTCGGAGGTCGATGAGTTAGCCAGCTTCCAGTGGGGCTATAGGATGACGGAACCTTCTTTTTTGACAGATCATTGCGCCACGAAATCAATTTGTATTTTGAAATTACGACATTTTTATTTGGAGTTATTTTGTCAGCCCCGCACTTAAGCCACGTGTCCTTTGCTCTTAAGCTTTGTGTGTGGCGCGCTCTTGGAGCGCGAACCGTATGAATGCTTCGACCTTCTTTCTTTGTGTATTACATTTCAGTTGCGACTCAGCGCTTATATATTCCGTGTTTCTTTCCTATGTATTCCTTTCCTATACGAAGAAGAAAAAAAACTCATTTCATTGGGAAAACAAACAAGCAGAGATATAAATGGAGCACTCACTTTCGCTAATTTGCACTGTCTTGCTGGCTAAATTAAATTAACAAAATATCTATCCGTTTGACGACTGTTTG